ATTCAAAAAAAGTCCAAAAAAAAACGCAGCTTTGCACCGTTTTACCACGTTTTTCAGCATTAGAGCGTTTTTACAGCTAAAAAACTCCTCTAGAAACCTACTAGTCCTGGTTTTTTTTTTTTTCTAACCAAAAAACGTTGATTACAGTCTATGTGTGCATGGACATATAGGATAACATGCTGGGGGGGTTTACTAGCTGTAGAAAAAAAACGTCAAATGCCAAAAACAGCCGCTGTAAAAACAGCATGAGGACTTACACATCAACTCTTCCCCTCCCTAGAGTTCTGACACAGGCCTTCAAAACGTACCTGTGGAAAGTAGTGCTGGACCAATCCAGATGTTGAACACCTTTTGAAAACCTACAGATTATATAGTTGGGGGGATAATCTAAACAGTCAAATAAAGACTGCATCCATGATCCTTTGGCTAACTGTAGTCCATGTGCCACTATGCAGCTCACAGGCATTACAGTGAATATCGGGCAGTTTTAAAAACACACAGATACTGCAACATTTGAAGAATTATCTCTATGAAGTCTATGGATATTTATTATTATTATACAGTATTTATAAAGCGCCAACAGTTCACTCAGCGCCGTACATTACAATGGGAGACAGAACATGCGACAGTACAATAACAATACAATGCGATACACGAGTGGTTCGAGGGCCCTGCTCCTTGGAGCTTACAATCTAGGATATGTTAATAGCCTGATAAAAATAATTTAGATATATATAAACCAGACACCTTTGGATTTAGTCTAACACTCCCCAAAATGCTTTATTTTTTTTTTGCCATTTCAAAGTACATATTTTCAAACACCTTTAAAGTGGTTGTAAACCCTTACATATACCCAGTGAAGTGACTGGCCTCAGGAGATACACCGAGATTAAACAAATCCTCCTACATAAGTAGTACCCATTTATCTGCAGTATCTTTTTCTCTACATCTGTTCACAGTGCTGAATTGTCTGAGGGGGAAGAGAGCTGAAGTTACACACACCAGCTCAGTGAGGAAAGCTCTGAGCTGATTAGAGGGAAGGTACACCCGCCCCTCCACACAGCATGCAGGAACAGACCTGTGGCTGTCAATCTGTTGGTGATCCTTCCTGTCACCATTTTTCTCTTGGTGTCAGAAAGACTTCTTAGAAGTGATTCATGCTAATAGCAGAGGAATGAGGCAGGAGACAGAAAATGACACTTGGTGCTCTGGATTGAGACAAGTACACATAGAGGGATATGCTTTGTTCATATCTCACCACTTTAAATCATGTCAGCTGAGTTCTGATATTTAACACCTCTCCTGCATCAACAAAAGGATGTATCTACCTGCTCTTGGGCACAAAAAAAACAAAAACAAAAAGCAGCTGACACAATTTGCAGGCAACAAATATCAAAATACTTATAATTACAGTGCTGCGCTACTGATTACACACAAAAAAAAAAAGACAATAAAAATAATTGCAACGACAGATAACAGGAAAGTCCTTCAAAGCAGTCCTTTAAAAAGTAACCAGTGGATAGCCAGGTAAAGCCACCTTGAGTGTGCTCAAAATCCATGAAGTGGTGCCCAAAAAGGGAGTTATCCTCTACCTCCACCCAGCACATACAGCTTCTTACCAGATATTGTTAAGCACCAACGTTTAAGCGGTCCAGAGTGCGCTCATGTATCATAGTGGCAGAACCGGACTTCCAGGATCCCAATCCTCTGACAACTGTAGATCATAGGTCCACTCCCAAGATGATAGATCACTCCACCAACACAAACAGTTACCTCTCCAGCACATACAAAGTAATGACGAAATGCGTAGGGTGGAGTCACGGCATGTGACATTGTGTAGTGGACCATCTTGTTGGTTTGAAACATCTGTTACTTTGTGACATGCTGAAATTATTTTAGATCTATGTGACTGCACTGAATTTAATAAATGTGAAAGTTCTCTTTTTACTACATTATAAGACGGCTTTTTCCCCCTCTTTTAATTTGTATGTGTTGGAGAGGTACAGTGGTTACAGAAAAGAATCACCCTTCTTTAAAATAATCACATTTTGTTACATTGCAGCCTGAAATGAAGACAGACATAGTTTTTTTGTTTTATCTAGGTGTATTTACTCAGTCCGTGTAAAAGATAGAACACCAACATGTCAGAAAAAAATGTAAAAAAAAAAAAAAAAAAACAGAATCACAATGAGTTGGAAAAAGGATCACCTCCTAAAAATGACTTGTAAAATCAGTCAGGTGTAGCTAATCACCTTCTCAATGGCACACAAAGCTCCATCACTACCAACAACCACCATCTCTCCCACCCCACATGCCAAAGTCTTGGGTGTCACCGTGGACTCCCACCTCTTCTTCCTACCCCATATCCAACTGCTATCTAGATCTTGCAGGCTCCACCTCGGCAACATCTCCAAGATACGCGCACTCCTCACCCAAGACACCACCAAACAACTCCCTCATCATCTCACGCCTGGACTACTGCAATTCCCTTCTCAATGGCCTACCCAAACGAACGCTATCCCCACTTCAGTCGATCCTAAACTCAGCGGCTAGACTCATCACCTCACCAACCGCTCCACATCTGCCTCCCCCCTCTGCAATCCCTTCATTGGCTCCCGATTGCCCAACACATCAAATTCAAACTGCTAACTCTGGCCTACAAAGCCATTCACAACACCGCCCCAAACTACATAACCGACCTGATACCCAAATACTACCCTACCCATGCCCTCCGCTTCCTCACAGGACCTCCTACTCTCTAGCTCCCTGGTCTCCTCCTCCCAAGCCCAATTGCAGGACTTCTCTAGGACTTCCCCCATCCTCTGGAACTCCCTACCCCAATCCATCAGACTGTCACTTACCCTCCTCACCTTCAGGCGCACCCTGAAAACCCTCCTCTTCAGGGAAGCCTACCCCAACCTCACCTAACACCTGTCCTCATCTAACAACTAACCTCCTCCACTCCTCCCACCACTCCATCCCCCACAGCCATTTCCTCCTGTACCACTTTCCCCTCCCTCCTAGATTGTAAGCTCAAAAAAGAGCAGGGCCCTCAAACCCCTCGTGTATTGTATTGTTACTGTCTTGTCTCATGTTCTGTCCCCCTTGCTACTGTACAGCGAACTGAGCATACCCTTTGGCGCTATATATATATATACTGTATAATAATAAAATAATAACTGTGATCAGCTGTGGTCATTCTGATTAGCTCAGCATGAAAAGAGCTTTCCTTGAGCATTTCAGTCCCTGGTTGTGCAACTGAAGCAAATATTCAACTATGGGTGGCAAAGCACTGTCAAAAGATCTCCGGGGTAAAGTTGTGGACAGACAAGTCAGGAGATGGACACAAAAAATATTTCTAAGGCTTTATCAATGCCTAGAAGCACAGTGAAATCTATCATTAGGAAGTGGAAGATATTTGTTACAGCACAGATCCTCAATGGATCAAGACGTTGCTCCAAATTGGATGAAAGCGTCAGGAGGAAACTGGTCACCAAAGCTACAAAGAGGCCTACAGCAGCTTTGAAGCAGTTCCAGGAATTTGACAAAGAGTGGTCATTGTGAGCATGTGACAATAACACAAATTCTCCACAAATGTGACTTGTATGCGAGGGTTACAAAAAAAAAAAGCCACTCCTCAAGAAATGCCACATGCAGTCATGACTGAACTTTGTAAAAAGGCACCTTGAAGATTCAGAGGTGACATGGAAAAAAGGAGTTATGGTCAGAGGAGACTAAAATTGAATTATTTGGTCTCCGCTACGGATGTACCGATATCGGTGACGATACCAAGTATTTTCGTGAGAACTCGTATTCATGAAAATACTGCTGATACCTTAACCGATACTTTGCGGTGCGATTTCCATTAATGGACACAAACTGCACCACAAAGATTAGATTCCTGTCCAAATCGCATGCGGTTTCCCCATTGCTCCTGTGTGAACCCAGACTTGTTATAGCCCAAGTTCACACAGAGTGGTGGGGGAAACCTCCCTGCAGGCATCCCATGCTGAGTGTCAGTGGATAGGAGAGGAGAGAAAGCAGCGGGGATTTGAAATCTCCGCCGCTTTCTTTCCTCTCCTTGTAGCAATGAAAGTTTGGGGTAGATGGCATCTGATTGGTCAGCACCGTCCACGTTCACAGTGGGGAAACCACAGCAATTTGGACATGAAATTGCATTCCTGGTAAAATCGCATGCTAATCTTTGCGGTGGAATTTGCATCCAATTAACGCAAAATGCACCACAAAGTTTCAGCACTCTGTATCAGTGTGTACTTGACTGAACGTATCAGTGCATCCCTAGCCGCAACACTAAAAAAACGGTATGTCTGACTGAAATCCAATACAGCTCACCATTCACATAACGCCATTCCTACAGTAAAGCAAGGAGATGGTAATAACCTGCCATCAGGGGCGGAGTGACCATTTGGAAACTCAGGCACTGCCCGAGGGCCCAGGGTCAGTAGGGGGCCCCATGAGATGCCCCTGGTACCTTTTTCATAGGCTTTTTTGAGTTTGGGAAAGGACACAGGGGCCCCATGATCCCCTATTGCCTGGGGGCCCCGTGAGTTGTCAGTCCGCCCCTGCCTGCCATGGGGGTGTTTCTCTGCAGCAGGGACTGGAGCACTTGACTGGACAGCAGAAAATATGGATGGGGAAAAATACCGTCAAATTTTTGAGGAAAATCTGCTGCCCTCTGCCAGAAAGTTGTCAATGGGAAGAATGATTACCTTACAACATGACAGTGATCCTAAGCACACAGCAGAAATGACCAGACAGTGGTTGAAGGATAAAAAGGTGAATGTCCTTGTATGGCCTAGTCACAGCAAACTCAGTGATTCTATTTTTTGAACTCTTTTCTGACCTGTTGGTGTTATATTTTTCACTTGGATGAAAGAGATAACACCTCCTGCATCCTTCAGGATTAAACTAAATAAATAAAAAAAAAAAAAATCTATAAAAATAATGCATTTTTTTCACACACAGAAAGCTTTACTCACCACAGCCACTGCATCGCTGGAAATAACCGCATTCAAGTCTAGTACTGTATAATAAGCCACATTGGTGAGAATATAAATGACGGTAACAATGGGCATTGAAATAGCAATAGACAATGGCAAGTTCCTGAAAAAAAACAAAAAAACGAACAACATGCATTAGTTGACATTCGTACAGTATTATGCACTCTATACTGGTAATACAGCACAAAGGAACCTACAAAGTCACTGAATACATTGTCACCATGCCTCAAGAAGCACACATATGCTGAAGAATTAGAAATTCCCATGCTATGTATTAGAAACCATTAGCAGCCACGACTGCTCAGCATTTCAAAACTGATGTTGAAGTGAGCTCCCACAGACTCACAATGTGACTGTATCTTGAAGTAAAGTACCTGTGCTGTTTCCCTGGAGGCATACAGTACTTTCCCTGACTCTTCTCACTTAGTTCAGTTTTACTAATCCACAATGAATACACTCTAAATCTCCATGGATTATAGCCAGATATAAGGGATTCCAATAGGTTTTCCAGTAATATACTTTAGGTTGGTTTTAGATATTCCTCCGACGGGAATGCAGCCAGCCAATGAATGAATCAGACAAGTGAACAGCTTATCGAAGTGTAGTACTTTAGTAGGAATCAAGATCACATAGACAAAAATTTTCCACTCACTTGTACAGGTGCCTGTAAACCAGCACCAGTGTTTCAGGCATATATGTTTTTAAAGATGGTCGCTTTGCACTTCAAGCTCACTTTCACTTAGTTATTCCCGGACCCGGAAGTGACGTATGATGCTCCCATGTACGTTTCACCCAAAAAGCCACATCACCCTGAATGCGCCCGATCTTGTCTGATCTCGGAAGCTAAGCAGGGTCGTACCTGGATGGGAGACCGCCTGGGAACATCAGGTGCTGTAGGCTAAAATGTTTTGCAAGGACCAAAATTGAGTTAACCATCAGGTGGTACTAATCTTGTATGTATTGCACTATAAGAAGTTTATTGTTTGGGCAAATGTAGTGCCTATGTAATTATATGTTATTTGCACGTCGTATGTGTCAATCACACTTAATTAGGGCAGCTTCACTTAGAATAGAATAACACTGAGACAAGATTTGTCTAGGGTACCTACAGTTGGCCCAAGGTTTGGGGGTCTCACACTATATTAGAGTGATTAGTTATAGGGAATATTTGTACACACACACACACACACATCCCTTCTATATTGTATTTTTTGAGATTATATATATATATATATATATATATATATATATATATATATATATATATCTTTATATATATATATATATATATATACACATATTTTATATATATAAATAAAATATATATAGCACCTACCTATTCTATCTTTATTTCTATGCACAATTAATACACAGCCACTTACCTGTCCCTCAGTCCCGCGGTGTGCCCCCTGCAGCCCGTTTCATCGGCCGTCCTGTACTCCAGGAGGCCGGCATCTTCAGTGTGGGTACCCGGCTGTGACTGCTTGTGGCTTCATAGCTGGGTACCCACTGCGCATGCGCGGGCAGCGCTGCGCTTCATGAATGGTCCTGTTGTCTTCTGGGACCTGCCACGTGTCCCAAAAGACTACAGGAAGGGAGGGAGGACACCTTCCGCTTCCGATCACCTAGGCGATCGGACCAGAAGTGGAAGTGGGTACCTGTCAAATTCGAGTCCCCCGTCCCCCAAAGGAGCCAATCCTTAATGGGGAGTGGGGGAGCAGTCCTTAAAGCGGAACTTCCCCTTATGGGTGGAGCTCGACTTTTAAAACGTGCTAGAAAACTGACCACACCAGGAACATCAATTCCCCAGCACACTCCCTCTCCATGCACATCACTGCCCTCTCCTAAACTTGGAGTGTCTAATTACTATCTGTGTTGACCCAGCTCCTCTTCCCTCACCAGCCTACATAACCTTTAATGTAGCTGCCGGGGAAAAAGAAAAAGGGGAATTACTATAGAGTGTCACTTGAATGAGGACTACTGACATCATATCCAAGCTGGTGGTGCCCAGCAGCAGACTCAGGGCTTTTGGATGTCTACAGAATAGAGGCTTTTACAGGTAAACGACATGCATAAAAAATGTTTATTGCACAAATAAACTTTTAGGAAGATTTTGTTGAAATGAACGATCTGGTCTCTTTGAAGTGACACAGAGATGCAGATCCAGCATCTGGGACTGCCCCATAAAAACGGTGACTCAGTGAACAGGCATGGCTAGCAATGAAGAGGATTTCTACCAAGAAGTGATCAGTCCTGCAGGAAATTGCTGTGCTACAGAGATAAGTAAAACGTTAGAGTGAGGGGTGTTGGTGTAGATCAGTATAGGTGTGGGGGGGGGGGGGGGGGGAGTGGATTAATAGATTAAATGATGCAATAATGATGAAATTTAAGGATTAAATGTACTTGATGTAATAGTACAGTTGCCTTTTAAAGGGAAAGTAGTGGGTATTTTACATGTACATATACACTGAGCAGCCATAACTTTAGATCACTGAGAAGCAAAGTGAATAACATTGACCATCTTGTTACAATGGCATCTGACAAAGGGTGGGATGTATTAGGCAGCAATTAAACATGTTGTCCATGAAGTCGATGTTTTGAAAGCAGAAAAAGAAAAAAAAAAAAAAAGGGCATCGCAGTTTGTTGGATGTGTGTAGCCACAGACCAGTCAGGGTGCCCATGCAGACCCATGTCCACACCATCAGAACTGGACCCACGGAGTAATGGAAGAAGATGGCCTGATCTGATGAATCATTTTCTTTTATATCATGTGGATAGCAGACATACTGTATGCATTGCTTAGCTGTGGAAGAGATGGCACCAGGATGCAGTATGGGAAGAAGGCAAGCCGGTGGAGGAAGTGTGATACTTTGGGAAATGTTCTGCTGGAAAACCTTGTGTCCTGTTATTCATGTGGATGTTACTTGATACGTATCACCTACCTAAACATTGTTGTTGACCAAGTACACCCCTTTATGGAAACCGTATTCCCTGATGGCAGTGGCTGCCTTCAGCAGCATAAATCACCCTGCTTTGCTGCAAAAATGGTTCCAGAATGGTCTGAGGAACACAGATTTGATGTGTTGACTTGGCCTCCAAATTCTTCAGATCTCAATCCAATGGAGTATCTGTGGGATGTGCTGCAAAAACAAGCCCAATGTATCGAGGTCTCCCTTGCAATTTATAGGACTTAATGGATATGCTGACAGCTTGGTGCCTGATACTACAGCATACCTGCAGAGGTCTAGTGGCATCCATGCCACAACTGGTCAGAGCTGTTTTGGCGGTAAAAGAGGGACCTACTCAATATTAGGTGGGTCATCAATGTTATGGCTGATCAGTGTACACTAAGTACAATTAAATTTTTTAGCTACTATTACAGCATTGACCCTAAAGTATTTATGATATTAATTCCACATCTCTGTTATGGATTAAAATGTTACTAAACCATGGACCCTGCATTCACTATATCTGGTCTCCCACAGTACACAGAAAATGAAAATGCAATTAGGTTAGCAAATATAAACTGATAAATACCGTATTTTCAGGCGTATAAGACGACTGGGCGTATAAGACGACCCCCTACTTTTCCTGTTAAAATATAGGGTTTGAGCTATACTCGCCGTATAAGACTACCCCTCTTCCAACACACACCAAATAAAAATGAAAAAACATCAGATTTGATTTCAATATGGTATGCTATTTCAGTATGGTATTCCAATGATGGGGTGCTATTCCTCCCACTGACACCAATGATGGGGCACTATTTCATCCACTGACACCAATGATGGGGCACTATTTCATCCACTGACACCAATGATGGGGCACTATTCCTCCCACTGATACCAATGATGGGGACACTATTCCTCCCACTGACACCAATGATGGTGCCCCATCATTAGTGTCAGTGTGTGAGGAATAGTGCCCCATCATTAGTCAGTGGGAGGAATAGTGCCCCATCATTGGTGTCAGTGGGAAGAATCGTGCCCCATTATTGGTGTCAGTGGGAGGAATAGTGTCCCATCATTAGTGTCAGTGGGAGGAATAGTGTCCCATCATTGGTGTCAGTGGGAGGAATAGCGGCCCATCATTGGTGTCAGTGGGAGGAATAGCGGCCCATCATTGGTATCAGTGGGAGGAATAGCACCCCATCATTGGTATCAGTGGGAGGAATAGCACCCCATCATTGGTATCAGTGGGAGGAATAGCACCCCATCATTGTTGTCAGTGGGAGGAATAGCACCCCATCATTGGTGTCAGTGGGAGGAATAGCGCCCCATCATTGGTGTCAGTGGGAGGAATAGCGCCCCATCATTGGTATCAGTGGCAGGAATAGCGCCCCATCATTGGTGTCAGTGGGAGGAATAGCGCCCCATCATTGGTGTCAGTGGGAGGAATAGCGCCCCATCATTGGTATCAGTGGCAGGAATTGCGTCCCATCATTGGTGTCAGTGGGAGGAATTGCGCCCCATCATTGGTGTCAGTGGGAGGAATTGCGCCCCATCATTGGTATCAGTGGGGAGAATAGTGCCCCATCATTGGTGTCAGTGGGAAGAATAGTGCCCCATCATTGGTGTCAGTGGGGAGGAGAAGTAGTGCCCCATCGTTGGTATCAGTGGGGGAGGAATAGTGCCCATCATTGGTGTCAGTGGGGAGAATAGTGCCCCATCATTGGTATCAGTGGGAGAATAGTGCCCCATCATTGGTATCAGTGGGGAGAATAGTGCCCCATCATTGGTATCAGTGGGGGAGGAATAGTGCCCCATCATTGGTATCAGTGGGGGAGGAATAGTGCCCCATCATTGGTGTCAGTGGAGGAATAGTGCCCCATCATTGGTGTCAGTGGGGAGGAATAGTGCCCCATCGTTGGTGTCAGTGGGGGAGGAATAGTGCCCCATCGTTGGTATCAGTGGGGAGAATAGTGCCCCATCGTTGGTATCAGTGGGGAGAATAGTGCCCCATCGTTGGTATCAGTGGGGGAGAATAGTGCCCCATCGTTGGTGTCAGTGAGGAGAACAGTGCCTCATCGTTGGTGTCAGTGGGAGAGGAACAGTGCCTCATCGTTGGTGTCAGTGGGGAGAGGAACAGTGCCTCATCGTTGGT